TATTTTCTGTACCTTCTCCCCCCTTCTCCTCCTCCTACTCCCTTGTTGCTAACCCTCCTTGAGATCTTCATTTCTATGTTTCCACTCCTGATCTAGCTGTCCTTTTAGTTTGCTTTTGTTTTAGGTGTGGTTGTTAATAACTGTGAGTTTGTTGTCCTTTCACTGTTCATGTTTCTTTAACTTCTTTTTCTTAGATAAGTCCCTTTAAGGTTTCATATAATAAGGGCTTGGTGATGATGAACTCCTTGAATTTGATCTTATCTGAGAAGCACTTTATCTGTCCTTCCATTCTAAATGAAAGTTTTGCTGGATAGAGCAATCTTGGTTGTAGGTCTTTGGATTTCATGATTTGGAATACCTCTTTCCAGCCCCTTCTTGCCTGTAAGGTCTCTTTTGAGAAATCTGCTGACAGTCTGATGGGGACTCCTTTGTAGGTGACTGTCCCCTTAGCTCTGGCTGCTTCTAGGATTCTCTCCTTCATTTTAATCTTGGCTAATGTAATGACGATGTGCCTTGGTGTGTTCCTTCTTGGGTCCAACTTCTTTGGGACTCTCTGAGCTTCCTGGATTTCCTGGAAGTCTATTTCCTTTGCCAGATTGGGGAAATTCTCCTTTATTATTTGTTCAAATAAGTTTTCCACTGGTGGCTGTGCCTTTCCCCCTTCTGGTACCCCTATATTCAAATGTTGGAGCATTTAAAGATGTCCTGGAGTTTCCTAAGACTCTCCTCATTTCTTTGAATTCTTGCTTCTCGACTCTTTTCTCTTTGGCCATTATTTGCTTTCTTCTGGTCCACTCCATTGATTTGAGTCCCAGTTTCCTTTTCATTGCTATTGGTGTCCTGTGCAATTCCATTCATTTCAATTAGTTTCGCCTTCATATATTTGTCTAATTTGTGGCTATAATCAACCAGTTCTGTGAGGATCCTGATCACCAGTGTTTTAAACTGTGCGTCTGAGAGTTTTGCTATTTCTTCATTGCTTAGATTTATAGGCTCTGGGGCTTTGAGCTCTTCTTGAGCCATTTTTGGTCTGTTCTGGCCCTTTTAGTGTGAGGAGAGGAGCCTTGGACTCCCGGGTTGCTGGGTTGTGACGCTGTATGTGGGGGCGTGGTCAGAGCGGGGAAATGGCAGCACCCTCTGCTGTTTCAGAGCCTTAAGTGGTTCTCCAGGGCCAGGCCACTCAGAGTCGCTGGGTTATGACGCTGTATGTGGAGGTGGGGTCAGAGCGGGGAAATGGCGGCGCCCTCCCTGCCGCTTGCTGCGGGGACCCGCTGGGTCCTGGTCCAATTGCCCACTCCCTCACTTGTCTCTCCGCGCACAAATGCCCGACCACAGTCAACCTGCAGCCCTGCTCCGGTGCTGTTTCCCCGCGGTCGCGCTCGCTTTGTCGCTTGCTCGGTCGCTCACTAGGTCCAACCCTGTGCCTGGATTTCATGCACGCTGAGTCCGTCTGACCGAGTCCTCCTGTGCAACCCCGCTCCACCAGCTGCTGGTTTCGCCCCTTATCGGTCAGGCTGATGAATTTGTTGTTAACAGACTTCCGAAAAGTTCAGTTTTCTGTGTTCTGGCTATGTTTTCTATTGCTAATATTTAGTTGTCTATAAACTTGGTTGTGTGAGAAGGCATGGCATATCCACCTATGCCTCAATCTTGGCGGAAGTCATCTTGATAATTCTGATTAATTTTGGAAAATGTTTAGCTATGATCCATTCAAATATCTGTTCACTCCTGTTTCTCTTTATTCTTATGGGGCTTCAATTACACTTATGACAGATGCTTTGATATTGTCCTACAGCTGTTGATTGCTAGATTTTTTTCTTTTTTTACTCTTTTTGTCTCTTTGTGTCTTAGTTTGGATATTATAGTCTCTTTGTGACTTACATTCAAGTATATTGAGTCTTTGGTTGTGTTTAGTCTCTTGCTAAGGCACTTTAATTTAGACTTCATATCTGACATCACTTGTTTATTTTCTAGCATTTTAATTTTACATTTTTGCATTTCTGTCTCTCTGTGGAAATTCCCAGTTTTCTCACACATGTTGTTTTCTCACACATCTTTTACATGAAATTCTTCCTTAACATATTACTTTTAATTATTGTAAAGTCTCTGATAATTTTGGCATGTAGATCAACTTTAGTTTTGTGGTTTTCCTATTTCTTGACAATAAATATGGATTTTTTTAATTTCTTGTGTGTCATGATTTTTTATTTTACACTATAATCAAGTGGGATTTATTTCTGGGATGCAAGGATGGTTCCACATTCACAAATCAATCCATGTGAGACACACATTAACAAAATGAAAGATGAAAATTATATAATCATCTCGATAGTTGCAGGAAAAGCAACCATTGACAAAATTCAACATCTATGCATATTAAAAACTTTCAACAAAGTGAGTACAGAGGGCATGTACCTAAACACAACAAAGGCCATACATGACAAGCCCACTGCAAATATCACACACAACAGTGAAAAGCTTAAAGCATTTCCTCTAAGATCAGGAACAAGACAAAGATGCCCACTCCTGCCACTTCCGTTCAACACAGTACAAAAGCCCCAGCCAAAATAATCAGGAAAGAAAAAGAAATAAAGGTGTGCAAATCAGGAAGAAAAAAACAAAATAGTTTCTATTTATAGGTGAGATCATAGTAGACACAGAAAACTCCAAACACTCCATCAAAAAAGCAATTAGCACTAATAAATTTAGCAAAGTAGCATGATACAAAATCAGTTTACAAAAATCAATTGCATTTCTGTACACTAACAATGAGCTATCTGAATATAAAATAAGAAAAATGATCCCATCTAAAATTTCATCAAAAATAATAAAATACATAGGAATAAATTTAACCAAGGAGGTGCAAGATCTTTACATTGAAAACTGCAAAATATTGATGAAAGAAATTGATGAACACACAAATAAATGAAAAAATATTCTATGCTCATGAATCGGAAGTATTAATATTACTAAAATGTCCCTGCTACCCAAAGTGATCGCCAAGTTCGGTACAATCCCCATCAAAATTCCAATGATATTTCTCTCACATGTCTAACAACCCTAAAATTTGTATGGAAAACAAAAGACCCTAAATAGCTAAAGCAATATTGAGAAAGAAGAACAAATCTAAGGGCATCATACTTTCTGATTTCAAACTATAGTACAAAACAGTATGGTAGGTAAATCAATGGAACAAAATAGAGCTCCAAAATAAGCCCATGCATGATGACCAATTAATTTACAGCAAAGGATCCAAGAATATATATGGGGAAGTATCTCAATATTTTTCATTGAATTCTGGACATTGCACATGAAAGGGCAGTGGAAACTGAGGTAAATGGTGTTTACCCCTGGAAATGTGCTTAAGTCTCTTCCGTCAGGCTGTTAGTGAGGGGAGTGGAGTCGGTGCAGTTGGAGGATGAGCTGGGCCTGGATTTTGTCATTGCTGGAGTCACCTTCATGGTCCTGAAGATTTCAAGTTCCTTCAGCAATGGGATGCTGTCCCCACATGCTTTGGAGAATTTGTTCTCATTGTTCCTTTTCTACCCTTGAACTCTCAGCCTCCTTTGCCACAGAGGGGTCTCCCTCCTGCCCCTTCCCTAGCAGCAGACTTGGTACTTAAGGCTTTTGATTTGAATGGGAGAAGGTCCTGGGAGATGGGTGGGCTTTCATGGCTTGTGGAACTAAAGGAGGTCTCTCCATTTTCCTACCTTGCCCATTGTCTTCCTCATAAGTACCATGTGGTGGTCATCAGATAAGATCTTATGAGTGAGTGCAGACTCTTCTTGTGTCTGCAGCTCCCACTTATATTAACCTGTCATGCTAACCTACTCTCAGCCTTCCAGAACTTAAAAAAAAAATTCTCTATTTCTTCTTACTCTTATGGTGACTTCTTTTTCCTCCTGTGTTGTGTCAGATGTGAAACTGTGTTTGACCATCTTTCTTTGGAGGGGTTTCTCTCTCTTACTTTAACATTTGTTTCACCTGGCTCCCTCACAGCCCCCATTCTCTGATGGGTTCAAGAAAAGTTTTGATTTCACAGATTATCCAGATTTCTTTTGTTGTTAGGATAGAAGCTACATTTTCTTGCAATTATCTTCATCCTAACTGGGAGCAGCACCTCTGGTAGTGGATAAAGAATTTGTTCAATGGTCTCTTCATTCTTAGTGCTTCATCCAAGAGTAGGCTGAGTTTCTGTTTCCCTTCTGGATTTTATGTCAGAGGCTCTTACAAAACAAGGCACACTGCTCCTCTGTGGCTTGTATTTTACTCTTCAGGTGTCCATAACCGATATTTATTTAAGGGAAAAACCCTTTTTAGAGGATTAATGTAATAATTTACTAACTTTATGAGCTTGGGATAAGAAAAGACATGACTTGGTAAATTTTCTTTATAAAATGAATCATTTTAAAAAACTTATAAAAGTATTTCATCAATAAAGTAGAAAGTTAAAAATACAGAAAGATACAAAAAAAAAACACAAAAAATGAAAACCACCCATAATTTCATTAACTAAAAAATTTGTTACAAATTTATTCTAGTCATTTTTCTTTGAGTATTTTTATGTTAGTTTATCTATGTGCATATACATTCTCAAATACATAATTTTGTGTTTTGTTTAAATAAATGAGTTCCAAAAGTTATGGGTTTTTTTTTCCTGTGGGTTAAGTAGTATGGCACTCATAAAATGATGATGTGTTACTTATGTTTGTCTGGTGAAGATTCCAAAATTTATGGAATACTTTTAGTTTGCCTTTAGGGCTGGATTCCTTCTCATAGCTATTTCACATGAGCAGCAGGGACAGGTGTGTATATGTTATTCCAATGGAATGTAATTCATTTCAGAAAAGGCTAGCTGTTGATTCCTTGTGCTGAGGTCCCCCTTTCCTCATGTAACTTCCATTCCTTTTTATTTATGCTGGCTCATTGTCAAGTTCAGAACCAACAGAAATGAGGAAAGTATATAATATTCTTAATATGTGTTCTACTTTCTTTTCCAGAAAGTATTTTGGAGAAAAAATTGGCCTGTATTTTGCTTGGCTGGGATTATATACATCATTCCTCATCCCATCTTCTGTAATTGGGGTGATTGTGTTTCTTTATGGATGTGCAACCATTGAAGAAGATATTCCCAGGTAAGATAACTTGAAAGAAAAAGGCTCAATTCTCATGTTAGTAGTTTGAAGTTTCATCTTAGTTGCAAGTACATCATCTTCCAAAGTCCTCATCCCTATCCTTCTTCCCTACCATACATATAACTTGTCTCCAGAGATAGATCTGGGAGCTCCAGATTCTGGAAGTGGCTTTATAACCATTCTGGGCATGACCCACTTTCTTTCCTAATCAAGTTCTTCTCCATTGCCAGGGTCTGATGTAAGCAGGTGGATAATGCCTGATGAAAAAATTGTGCCTGAGAAATGCTTTTTGTCCCTTAACTTTATGACTTTCCTCTGCTGGTTGTCCACATAATCCGAGGCAGGAAGTATTCAATGGTATTGGGTACAGATCACATGTCTATAGGTCAAACACTGTTTGGGATAAAATGCTGTGAGGCTATCTGTAGAAGCAGGCAGCTTCTGGAGCTGAGTAAGGCTCAGCTTCTAGTTCAGGAGTCAGAAACTACAGGAAGTGACAGTGCCTGTGGTGGGGCTCTTGGAGAACCCAGACATGGAACGAAGGGAAGACAGGGCCTATAAAGAAAGTAAACACTTAAAAATTGTTGTTTACTTTCTTTGTCCTCTACCATCAGGGAATAATTAATACTCACCAAATACCTACTGTGTGTCAGGCATGGTGCTAAGTGGTTTTATGTACTAGTTTCTTTGATGCTGTAGAGATCAACATTTTAACTCTATATAAGTGAGTTATTATTTTCATCTAACAGAGATGGAGAAATTGATGATAAGCAAAGTTGCATAGTTTGTCCAACTTCAACAACTCATTATTGTCAGGGTTGAGATTTGACCTCTGTTGCCTTCTGCTGCTCTAGAGTCTTTGCTTTCTCCATTAAGCTATGAAGTCTTTCAGAGGGCTTATATCCTTCTCATCAGTCCAGTAGGTTCAACTGGCCTTCTCTGATGCATTCTCAGAAGACAGGACTCCCATGTTTTCTTTGCCCAGTTGTGATCCCTAGAGAGATGGAGCTCAGCTTGACCAAAGCTGCACATCTCCATACTGTGCTTAAAGAACCAGTGCCGGTATAGTGGGTGGGGCTTCAGTGTGCTGGTTTATACCAGGACTTAGAACTTATGCCCATATGAGAATACATGACAGTGACCACTGCAATTGGAAATGATTATGGTCTACATATTGTTGAAAGCTTGGTTTTTCTTGCCAATGCAGTAAAGAATTACAGATCAGCAAGTCAAGCAGTATGCAAGCAGAGTTTATTTGTATGTCCTCAAGGAAGAAAACAGGCCTTGCTAAGGGTGGTGAGAGAGGCATGAGTACCTTGTCCTGTGGATTTATATAATTTTCAGGCAGGGATGAGGATTAGTATGGCATTAGAGAATGGGAGTTACATATTGATTGGCAGATAGTGATGGTGATGACCATGCATACTTTCCCATGGAGGATGTGAACACCTAATCATAGGCATGGGTAGGGGTCTGTTCCCAGGGTTCTTATCTCCTGCTCTGGACAACATCTGGTCATCTGTTGTGAAACAGCCATGTGACCAGAGGTAGTTGGTCACAATTATTTTGGCCTGCTTTTCTGCTAAGAGCAATGGGCACCCTCCTACCTTTCCTCCTCTTTCCTTATTTTCTATCTCCTACCTAATACATACATGCTGCAAAGACATATATCTATGCACATGTACACACACATATAGTGCAGATGTACAAGCATGTAAAATGTGACTATTATCATTGCAGATGTATTGTAGTCAGAGTGTGTGATGTTTTAAAAACTATAGGTAGCAACCCACTCATGAATTATAGAATTGATGTAATGATTATATTTTTATTGTACTTTTTCCATTAGTACTTATCCCCCTTATACCTGCCCCTGCAATCCCCACACTGTTGTTCATATCCATGAGTGTGTTTTCTTTTTGCTGGATCCCTCCACCCCCTAACCACCCCCAGAATGGTCAACCTGCTCTCCATCTATAAGTCTGTCTCTATTTTGCTTGTTAGTTCAGTAAATAAACAAGAATAAGATAGGAGAGAATAGAGTGAAACATAATATTATTATTCATCACAAGAAGGAAGTAAGAAAGTATAAGTATTGTTGCATGAGATTTTATTTAGATATATGGTATGTTTATGGCAAGATGCAAAGATAGTACTGAGGGGTACAATGTATCCTTCACCCAGTTTCCACCAGTGGTCATGTCTTATATATCTACAATATAATATCAAAACCAGAGAATTTACATTACGTGGAACTTTAAACGATACCTTTTATTGTCAATAACTTTGACATGTGAGATACAAGTATCATTTGCAAGTAATAATTCCATATGTGCAGGATACATCTATAGAACTTTCCTTTGCTTACCAAGGGATTGGTTCCATTTGTTAGGCATTTGCTTACATGGGTAGGGAAGACTGGAGCATTTTTAAAAAGCTAGTTAATCTAAACCATATTGAAAAAAAAATCGGTTACTTTAGGTCTGCACCTTAGTAACAGATGTTCTGTCTGAGTTTCCTGAATAATTGCCTCCTTGCCCCTTCTCTCTTTCAGCTAGCACAGCACTGTACCTCCTAACTTGTGAGCAGTGAGCCACTCGTTAAGAACACCACTCACTCTGGGTTTTTATCAACATATGCTTTCTAGGGAAAATGACAGATTGAAGAAATACATGATTAGATTTGGACCCACAGTTACTTCTAACTAGAAACCTGTTGATTATATAGTTAGTGAACAATCTAGATGTGATTTCAGTTCTAGGTAAGCTCTCCTCATCTCTCAGCTTGTCTAGAGGTAGCCTCTCTCAGACAATACAACACCATTTTAATGTCATCCTGAGACAGAATTTCTTCAGAATTCTGTTCACACTGCTTGCATTGAAAAAAGAAAACCAAAGCCAAAGCCAAAACCAAAACAACCCAACTCAATGCATACAAAGCATTCTGACTTCCAATTTAAGTGATTGGAGAGTATCCATGCTACAGGGCTGCCGTTTTGTGCAAATGATTGATACTTGACTGTACTCTAATTTTAAAACCAGTCATTTACATAGAAGTTAAGTTTCGGAATGCTTTGCACCAAGTTAGTTGCTAATACTTTTTTGTTCCTGACTGTTTAGCACTGACTCGATTTGATTAGGCATCGGCTGACTAGGATTATCCCTCCCCTAAGTGTGTAAAAAAATCACCTGAACAGCAAAGACCCTGACACACATGCTTGAATGGCAGTGCTGAGAACTCAGATGTCCTCGCAGGGCTGAAAAGCACAGCGCTTTATTAGAATTTATACAGACCAACAATGTTCTGTGTGAATTTGTTTTCCAAGAGGGTACTCTCCTCTCTGAATGTCGCAACTGCTTCTCAACTACGTAGTGAATGCTTATCTGACCCAGAAGACTTAAAGTAAACCTCACTCCCCAGTGAACAATAAGAATGTGCCCAGGTGAAGCTAGCACGGCAGAACTGATTAATAAAATATTACTGTTTAATATTGTCGATGCGAATGAGTCACTGCTATTGACACTTGCCAATGGAGAGCTGAGCAGCAGCAAGTCAGGAAGGAACTAGGATTTATCCTCCGAGGCCTGGAGTTTCCATTCTCTCACACAGAAGGCCTCTCCCTGCTGAGGACTTCATAGCTCATTAAAAACAAGCCCGAAAGCTGGGGCTTGACAGGCAGTGACAGCCTTCAGTAAAACCCTTCAGCTTCTTAATGAAGGAAAAGTAGATCCAGGCATCCCTTTGACTTCTGGGTTAAATCTAAGCCCTGTTTAGCACCAGTTTACCTGCGTGGCCTCCAACTTGCCAGCTGTGCTCTATAGCACCCTCTGCTGCCTCTTTCCAGGGAAAACACAGTGGTGGTTTTCATGGGGGGATCCCCTGAACTCCATCCCTGTGTCTCTAGCTGCTCTGCAAGAACAGCCAATGTTTCATTTTCATGAACACTCAAGTTCTCCATGCTTTTCCTCAAAACCATGAGCTTAACTGTCTACCCATTCCTTTGGAGGAATATTACACCAGAGTGATAAGTTCATGCATTTCCCCATCAATACATGGTTTGGATAGATATTGGGAGGCCAGTGGGGCTGGTAGTTCCTTGATTCTTATTTACAAGCACTCAATGAGCCTGAGTTTATTGGCTCCAGCTAATCGCCTAATGAATGAATGGAATTTCAAATATATTCATCAACCCATTAAATAGAAATATACTGACAATTGATTAGAATATAGGTGATGGTTATTTGACTCATGCTTCTCTCTTGAAGACCACAGGATCTAGACTTTGGAAGAATGTATTTTATTTTTTTCATTTTCCCTAATCCCATTTCATGGTCATGATAATTCTTGTTAGGTGGAGGCTATTAATTCCCATTCTACAAATGATCTTGCCGCTGATGCACTTAGGAAAGGTATCCCAATCCAGATCTGACTTCATTCTTCATCACATGGCTTCTTCCAGCAGTAAGAGCTTATGTTTGTTTCTTCCAGTGACCAGTCTCACACATCTGTGAGACAGGCCATAGGTTTAAGAAGACAGCCTATGCTTGAATGATGATGGTGAAATCTAACTTCAGGTGGGTGATTTAGTCCCAATTGTTGGTGCTTCCCACCAACCTCATAGACTCCACACACATTTTGAAGGGGTTTTATAAGGCATCAGTCAGTGTGCAGCATCTTAGACAGATGGTCACTTACTTTCTGTTGAGACACTTCTAGTGACGGGGGCTCCATACTTCAAAAGGTGGAGATGTTTTGGGGGCGATTTGTTTGGGGCGGGTCCTGCGTGAGCTCCTCCTGACCCAGTAGCCTCTGTCTACCGCAGCAAAGAGATGTGTGACCAGCAGAATGCCTTCACCATGTGTCCCCTGTGTGACAAGTCCTGTGATTACTGGAACCTCAGCTCAGCCTGTGGTACGGCGCGGGCCAGCCACCTGTTTGACAACCCTGCCACTGTCTTCTTCTCCATCTTCATGGCTCTGTGGGGTAAGTGGTTGTCATGAGGTCTGCTTATAGGAGTGGTACCTTGAAATGGGTCCAGCGACTGTACTCTAGTGGCTCTATTCTTCAGTTTGCTTCCTTTAGCATTTGGTCCTTGTATCTCAAGAAGCATTTTAGGGATAAGAGATTTATCTCCTTTACTCATATATGCCAATAGAACTAGGAATATTCTCATGGTTGTGTGTGTGTGTGCACGTGTGTGTGTATACACACACATATAGTTATATATATGATATAGTGTTATTAACCTTGTACTAATATTTGAGCCAAGACATATTTTGAAAACCCCCAGTCCACTCCTGAGGCACCTCCAGGAACATCTACTAAGACATGTAGTCCCAGTGAAAGTAAGTTTGACATCCCTAGTGTAGACTGTAGAGATTTTACTTAATAGCACAGTAGTGTTTTCAACAAAGGGATTTGTGAAGGAAAGAACAAACGGTCCTTCCACTGTTCTTCTCTTTTCCTTTCCCGCCTCTCCACCACCTGGAGAATCAGGATAATAAACCTTCTCTGGGCCATAGCCATCTGACCACACACACACACACACACACACACACACACACACACACTTCTGTTTTCACAAACTAGGATAACCTACAATAACAACCTTGTGGTAACTGAACATTTCCAAGAAGACACACCCATGTGTATTTAAAAAAGGGACAAACTCAACATGTTTTAGCCCATCTTGAATAGCCACCTGGGTTTTACTCATCATGGATGGGCAAGTCCTTAGATTTCATGTTGGATTGCAGACCAGTAGGGCCACGATCCTGCTGCAGAGACTGCTTGATTTATCACTGACTCCATGGGGCCCAGAGGACCTGCCAAGAGGGGGCTGTGAGTCACAGCCCTGAAAGTGTGAGGGGGGGGGAGAGGGAGAGGTTTGTTCTCAACAGTGCCGGGAGAACTAAACAGACCACCCTCCATTCCCTGTAGGAACCTCTGCTTGGGTGGAGACAGAATCAGATTGGAAAGATGTCTGTATTTCTAGGCCACCAAGGACCATTTCCAGGGACACTCTGCTCTCAAGGAAAGCAGCTGCTGCCCAGGGTACACAGACAGTGGTCAGCTCATAAGAGTGGTGACAGGGAGTAGGAGGAAGTGACACTTGTGATTATATAGCTCTGGAAATGTTTACAGGAAGGATGAGTAGGACAAACTGAAGTTGAAGTTTGTTACTTAGGAAGTCAGAGCAGCTTTATCTTCTCATCAAGCAAGGGCATCTTGTAATTAATTACTCCAAAATCTACCTACTTGAACTGATTTGGAACTTAGAATTTGCTTTCATTTTTTGATATTTTGCAATCCTAATGCCATTAACTTGTCTTACAGATACTATGATGATCAAATAGCTGAAGCTTAATAACACTGGGTCCATGATCCCTTAAGAACTTTGATGGGCTGCATAATGCCTGGTTGTAGAGAAACTTGGTTTTCAATTTTACTGGCCCACTTTCAAGCCTTAACAACTGCCTCTTCTTTCTCAATAGCTATAATGAACAGACACCTCCCACCCCTTCTGAGGTCCTCAATAATTTACTACCCCCACCCCGGGCTCCTCTCTCTTTCTCTCATATAACAGTGTTGAGAAAACAAAAAGGGTGAGATTGAGTCAGAGCTTCCTGGCAAAAGTTAGAGTTTGGTTTTTATTTTTTTTTAACAGCCTTGCTGTGTTTTATGTGATTGTATATTTGGTTACAACAGCCAAGAGCCCCTGGGCATGATTGCCTACATATTACAATTAAAAATAATAGTAATGCCTCTCATTACCATGATTATTATGATCAGTGGTGCTTTGCTGGGTGGGCCTGGGCCAGGGCCCATGCTTGCCAGGAATAAGGCTGGGAAGAAGTGGTTCTCCACAGAGAGAAACTCAGGCTATTGTGGAGTGGGAGTGGAGGTTGCCAAGACAGGGGTGTGTGTGGAGGGTTCTAGTCAGGAAGACCTGGGTCTGTTGGAGTCTTCAGGCCCAACTCCTCTGCTGTTCTGGCCTCAAACTCAAGAGGACTTTAGAAAGAGAGTGAAGCTCTATGGAAAAGAAAAGTAAAGGAACAGGGTTTCTAAACTCGTTTTTGACTTAGGGGACTTCCTGGTGAGTGTCTCAATCCTGCCCCTTCCAGCTGTGGATCCCATAGCAAGCCAGTGTGAATTTAGCACCGTGTCACCAAAGTCAGTATTCTTAGCCAAGGTACCATGTAATCTGGGGCACAGTACTTAACCTTCAGAGCACTCATCTCAAATGAGTGAAGTGGGGGAAGTAATACCTATCCCATAGTATTCGGTGACAAGTGAATGACATGTGTATGCAAAGCACTTAGCGTGGTACCTGGCACATAATACATGCCAGGAACTGTGAGCAGCTCCTCACCATTATTAGGGACTTCCCTTGTCCTCATGGCTCCTTTTTCAATGAGTCTTTTGCCTGTCTTGTCCATTCCCACAGTCTGACTTCTCTCCTTCATGGGCATTGCTGTCAGAAGCACTCTGAGCCTTGCTGTGTGCAGAGCCCTCCATGGGCACTGAGAAGAGCATGGGAAGAGGAGTGACATCCCATCTCATTGCAGCCCCTGGGGCAATGCTTGTCTTGGGAGGGCAGGATGCACTCACATGAAAAGGCCTCAAATCCTAGGAGAAAACATACAGATTAGTGCACTCTCATGTTGCACCAAGTAAAACAAATGAAGCTTTAAGTAACTGCATATGTAACTAGTCTGTGGTGTTTGTTATATTCAGTTCTGTACTGCGCCTAAGGTAAGCAGAGGCTGCTAGGAGTCCAAAAAGAGCTTACAGACCTGTTAGTACACTACAGGCCTGAATGGCAGCCAACAGTCCAGTGCAGTGGTCAGTGAAGGGCACCCAGGCTCCTGTCCGATGTGGTGTTGAGGTGTAGGAGTGGCCTCAGGGAGGATCATAGTCCTTTCCTTTTCAGGGCAACAGACCCTGGAGAAGAGAGGGTGCCCTTGAGCCTAATATTATGGAAGAAGTAGCACATGGGCTGGTCAGGAAAGGGTGAGGGTAGGCATTGCCAGGTAGCATAGGAGAGGGGGGCAATTTGCACAAGTCGAGAATGAAGAGGAAAGAGGGAGATAGCATCAGGAGCAATGCAGCTGTAAGGTGGATGTTGATAAGTGGTGGGAATAGATAGATGGGTCTGGCCAGATATACAGGGCCCCAATATCCAGAAATAACTTAGTCCATAAGAAGCCATTGAAAGTTTGGGTGAGGGGTAGAGTGAGGGATGTTGGCATCCTTCCTTTCCACACCCCTTCCTCACTGCCTGAATGCTTTTTCTTCAAGACTCAGCTCAGATGCCTTCTCTGGCAGCTAGCACTCCCTATCCTGTATGTACACAGCTTTCTATGCGTCCTTCTCAAAACCTGGTCACTCTGTGCCTTGTATTGCAGCTATTTACAATCTTTCCCCATAGACTGGAAACAACATGAGAGCAAAATCCGTATCAGAGTCATCTCATCTCCTTCATGATGCCTAGAACAGTGTTTTGTATTTTGCAGATAACTTAGTTGGGTCTAGGGCATTCAAATTTGTTCAGATAAGAGATTTATTGTAAGAAGGCAAGAAGCACGTTTATGAATGCAGGAAATAGAGCCAGGCCACTGGGGGACTGGAGCTGGAGTTGCTATCAGAAACCACACTCCTTTCTCCTTTCAGGTGCTGCTTGGTTTCTGCCTTCTCTGTTTCTCTGTGTCTCTTGGTTTCAGTTTTCAAAAGAGAGAATCTGGTCCATTGGAAGGCTGTAGATCAGATGTTTAATCCTGGTATTATAAACCATGGCTGTGGAGTGGAGGGGATTGGTATTTCTGGAGTATGTTGGGCTGGCCCTTCAAGGAGCTGTGGTTGGAGCAGGCAAACTGACCAATAGGTAGACATAGTAGGCATTCAACAACTACTGGCTAAGAAATGGACAAATACATACATGTCACTTAAGAGGGATTTGTCCGTCAGCTTCATGCAAGATGGATTGGAAGGCTGTAACTCTGGGGTCAGGTAGAACTCTTAGCACACTGTTACATAACCTTAGAAGGTGACTATTGGGGCTCACAAAGGGAAATGGTGCTGGGGATGAAAGAGCAAACAGGGAAGAAAGTGAGAGTGCTGAGGAAGGTGCAGGAAGAAAGGCTATGCATAGGCACAGTGAGGTTTGTCCAAAAGAGACTACAGACTCTTTAATTATTATTTTATTTATTCTGCCATCCTTCCTCATTTCTTGAGATCAGTGTTTACCCTCTCCTCATAACCTAGATGTGGGGAAAGGGGTATGTGTGTCCCTTTAAATATATCTATGTGGCTTCTAAGGATGTGTAATATTTAGAGCACTTCTAGGTATAAGTAGAAGGAAATGAATAAATGCTTCAAAGAGAGCTCCTAAATTTGAATTCTGTAAGTTTATTTTCTACTGCCATTGGTGAACCAAAAGAGTACTCAAAATCCATTCTTCAAAATTAACAGAATTTTTTCTTTCCTTTAAAGCCACCATGTTTCTTGAAAACTGGAAGAGATTACAGATGCGACTGGGCTACTTCTGGGACCTGACTGGCATAGAAGAGGAAGAAGTGAGTTCCCTTCCATGCTTCTCTAGGCTTGTGCTTTGCTTAGACCCTGCAAATGGGCCACTTTGAGTGAGATGACCACTTATGTGTACTGTCACACCAGCCGGTCACTGGCTGGGTCTCACTGTGGCAGTTTTCCTAGCTTGACTTCATGGGCTAATTCATGGTTGATATGCACTGATACCAAGAATTCAAGTTTCCTCTCTACTCTTGAGCTGTAAAACTTTGGGTCTGGTGGGTAGCCAGATGACCCAGTGCCCCTCTTTGAGAAAAGAGGTGGCACAAGGGGGAAGCCTTGAGGTTTCACTCAACATACTTCTGCATCCCATGTCATTGATTCTAGTGACCATAAATCCAGAGAATAGCAGTCATTTCCAGAGCAGAAAATGTCAGAATGGCTCTATGAGTCCACTGAGGGTCATGGAAAGGGTATGAATGCCGGATACTGGTTGCCTTTGATGCCAGTGGAAGAAGAAAACCACCATACGTTCACAGTGTAAGCCAGTGCACCATGTGAAGCTGCAGTGTGAGCTAAGGGTACAGGGTAGGTTCTTTTAGACTCTAGTTTTATGGACAAATGCTACATGGTTGGGCAAAAGTAGATTTATAGGTATGTATGTGTACATGAAACAATGTATTCTTATATAATTATTTATAAATTATTATATTGTTTTCTATATGAGCAACTGTAAACCCATTTTTGCCACACACTGTATTTAAAGGATGAAAACGAATCTTCCTTCCCTCCAGGCTCTTTTGTGAAGTAGGGTCCTAGTGTTGATGCTGGCCAGTTGACAAGGAGCAGTGTGACATGGTTGCTCACAGTCATCTCTTCCCACATGCAGTCACTGACTGAAGAGCAAAGGTCAATATCAGATAGGTGCTCCTGATGTTGTAGAGATGTGGATGAGGTACTGGGAACAGCATCTAGAAGGACCAGGGGGCACTTCCAAGTACCTAAGTGCCCCCTTGTCAAGGATGACCACAAACAATATGGCGGCTGCATGGACAACAGGCCTTTTTCTCACTCTCCTTCGGTAATCCATGTGCCTTGCCTTGGGCACAGCACCTCTGACTTTGTGGTCCTGACGTTTTATGGCCAAGCAAGTGGAATCCCCAATTTAGTCTTGTTCTCAAGACTCTGTGGCTCCCCATGTCTATAGTGTGGCATAATTTCTTCTCCTTAGTGCTCTAATTAGTCAGCGTGCATTTGAGCATATGGTCATGGCAATGTATTGAGTACATATGCTCACTCTATCCAGTCCTTTACATTAAACATATGTCCTGGGACTAACAGCGTCATGCATCCAATGACAAATGAGAGAATACACATACGGGTTCTGCCTTCAGAGAGGATGGAGCATTCAGATGAGGCCACACTCTCTGAGATGTCCCAGGAGCACCTAGGGCCTAGAAGTGAGCTGGACAAGAGCAGCCCACTGATCTGAAAATTGCCCCACTTTAGAGCAAAAGACTCTTAAGGTCCGGCAGTTCTCCCTTCAATAAGCACATGCAGGACCCCAAGGAGTCTTTCAACAAGTCCCTTGGTGGTGGTGTCCAGCTGGTTCCATAGGGAGACCTCTTGGGCAGGAGCTACACTGACTTAGGGGGGTGACTCTGGGTTTGGTTCTTTCTTGGAGATTAGGTGATGATAGTGGGCTTTAAAAACACTTAACAGCATCATCTCCTATTGTATTGATTATGTTTATTAGTCACACATGTGGTTTCTCCTCTCCAATATCATGGCACATCTTGGAAAAGCCAAAGACGGGCCAGAAACCTAGCTTGTTGGCTTCCGGAATCTCTGACGGAGTTATAATTCCTGCCTAGGAATTATTGGTAAATAATACAGGAACATCAAGTTCTCACACCTGTAGATATTTGTCCTTGGACAGTGCAAGAAAGACCTGCCAACGAGACCAGGTGTACACCGTTAAATTGTCTTTGAAGTAAGTCAGGCATCTTCTTCCTCCAGCATCTGCCTTGATTTGACCATAGTCTTGATTAGTTGGGTGTGCTTTCCCATGCCTGGTGACTCACTATTCATGTTTATATTGCTGAATGGCTTAGTGATGTCTCTTGAGCACTGGTGTACTTGCCAATGAGTTAATCACTTAGGCTGTACAGGAAACAGGTACAGGCAAGTGAGTTTTAAGATTCCCTATGGCCACCTTTAACTTTGATTTTTATTAGTCGCCATTTTAGCTTATAGAATAATGCAGCGGGGAGGAAGTTTTTTTGTTGCCCTAACTCCCAGCTGTGGGGAACATCTGTTTCTCCAGCTGAGATCTGGCTCATTGAAACTTAAAGTTTGAGGTCTGAGGATAGCTGGTGGGATGCACAGATGCATCCCTCTGCCTTTAGTCAAACTGCTGTGCAAAGCATGTGGCTTCTTTTTGTATCAGCTGCCGAGTTAATATTTCTTCTCTCCTTTGTCAACACTGGCGCCATCCCTAGGAACGTGCCCAGGTTTGGTTTTCAGTGTGGTAGCAAGTGTCCTGTGTCCTGTCTCTCCCACATTGTGTTCCTGGTCTAGACTCTTTGTGATTATGTATGCTGTGGCAATTCATGTCCAATAGAATCCGATCCTAAGTCCTGACTTTATTGTACCCGTAGTGTTTGGTTATAACCCACAGGCCAAGTTTGCTCTTCTGCCTGTTTACTAACCGCTCTTTGACTGTTGGGTTTTAGGAACACTCTCGGCCTGAGTATGAAACCAAAGTTCGAGAAAAAATGCAAAAGCAGAGTGACAAGACGGTTGTTCAGAAACTGGGGACCAACATTACTGAGAGTGAGGACGAGGTAAGATGCTGGTGCTTGTCGTTGACTGTGTTCTTTACATCTTAAGATTCTGTTGTCAGTTGATCTGGAACTCCTTCAGGGACAGAGTGCAAGAAGGGCTTGACAGGGTGACACAGGACAGAATGAGAGCATGACATTGCTGATTGTCCTGCAGTCAGAACTCACGGGTAGCAGGCTTTAGCCATGACTTGATTTGTCTCTTTCCTGGGTGGTATCTGGACAATATCAAAGAGCAGCTCGCAGAAGAAAGAAACAGTTGTCAGGCCTCTGGACTCCATCACCTAAATATCTAACAATAATAACCACTGCCACCATAGCAACCAGCACAATGACAGCTAACCTTTATTGAACACTTGCTCTGGGGTAGGCCCTGTTCTAAGTGCTTTATATTATTTTATTCTCACAAATTTATGAGGCTGGCATTATTGTTATGTAAATGAGGACTAATGAAAAAAATTATGTCCACAGATTAAGTCATTTGCCAGAGGTTACTAAGCAAGTAAACAGTGGGTGGGTCTGGGATTCCAACCCAGGTCTACTACTGACAGTTTAGATATATGACTACTTTGCACACTGCCTTTCATGTGCAATGGCTAAGGCAAGAAATGGCTCTTGGAGCCTGCAGGGGCAAATTCATGCCTGTATTTGCTTGAGCTAGTCAGAGACTGTTCCTTACATTTCGTCTTATCTGGGTGGGCTTCCAAAAGGAGGAATGTAGTGGTGAATATGTCTTCTGAGTCATATTTCTGAGTTTGATGGTGGCATTCAGACTTTGAAACAGAGCTTCAGAATCTGAGCTGTGATCTGTAAATACTCACAGTGTGTGTGAGTTGGGTGTATGATGCGGGGCTCCACTTGGCAGTGCCTGTCTCCGTGGAGTGCCACCTTCTTTAAAACTGTGTGTGTGTGTGTGTGTGTGTGTGTGTGTGTGTGTGTGTGTTTATGTCTTTCCTAATCTGGTTCCTGAAAAAAATCAACAAGGTTGAAAATCTGTTGTTTTTGCATGTATCTTTTCCCCATCTTGGATGTGAATTCAAATTTTATTTAATTTTACATTCTTTAAGTCGAAGCCATTCATGTTAACATGCAAATTTATTCAAGCAACAAAACAGAAGAATGTGTTGTTTTTGAGCCCAGAACACTGGCTTTAAAAAAAAAAAGAAAGAAAGAAAACAGGACTTTAAAGAGAAAGAGCGTGGCCCTTTGAGTTATTTCTTTCCTAGACAAAAAGTTAAATCCAAGACCACCAATTATTTAGGGAAATAGTAAATTCATTCGCAGGGAAAACTAATCATCACTGCCACCCTCACCCCAAAGCAAGCCTTTGGTGTCCAATCTGCTTCGGCAACTCCAGGAAACCTTCTTTCTCCACCCCAGAGCACTATACAGTGGATAATTTTATGGAGATCACATGTAACTTTTATTGACCACGGACTCATTTAATTTTAATTCCATAGACGGGAATGCCAAGGAGCTGGAATTGCATACAGTGAGGCTGTGGTTCTAATACAAACATTGCTTGGATATATATGCATGATAGGTCAAGTAATTCTCAGGAACCATGAATAATTGAAAAACATCTGAATACATTATGAATGATACATATGTTTATGTTTTAGCATTCAACATCTATTTTCATTACACTGTTGCGAATGCAAAGCTCAAAGTATCTAATGCCTTATGGGCATTTGAGAAGGGGCGGAAATGACCTTCCCAAATGAGCAGCGTAAGATAAAAATGGCCTGGAATTTGATTGTTACCATCCTTCTGTGTTCCCTCAGTTCTGTTAATATTGTAAATGCTGCTTTTCTTGTTGCAAATCTAGCTAAAGATGGGAGATGAGGGAGGGAGGAGCACCTTGTGTTGCCTGATGGGAGAGATGCTGCTGGAAGAGCTGTGGTCAATACTCACTGCAGGACAAGGCTCGGTAGGCACCATCACGTGTGGGATATTTAGGAAACGTACCTTCCTCTGAGGAGTAGACAGGGGCTAAGCATCAAAGTCTAGTAGATGGTCTTCCATGGGCTTCTTTCATTCCAGAGAGATTACCTTGGCTCTGCCTTTATTGTAACCCTGCTGCTGCATATCCTCACCTCTCATTACTTTTCTTCCTTTTGAGTGATAAAAAGCTACTATTTATTGAGGTCCAGCGTAGTAGAGGAACTTGCTGAAGATCACATAGCTAGTTGTGGGGAAGCTGGTAATCAAAATGAGCTCTACCTGATCCTAAAGGCCCCTTGCATTATTTTTAAAAAAGTTTTTTACAGATGTTAAATCCATTAAAACATCTTTATCAAGATATAAATTCTTAGACCATAAAATTCACCCATTTAAAGTATGTAGTTCATGGCTTTTAGTATATTCACAGATTTGTGCAGTCATTGCCACAATCTAAATTTAAAATATTTTCATCATTCCCCCAAAGAAACCCTAGATCCAATAGTTACCAAGCCCTGGGAAACAGCTGATCAACTTTCTATAGATTTGCCTGTTCTGGACTTTCATATAAATGGAATCATGCAAAACGTAGTATTTAGCTTCTTCCACTTAGCAAAATGTTTTCATGGTTCCTACAAGTTGTAGTAATATCAGTACTTCATTTTTTAATTGCCAAGTAATGCTCTGTGTTTTGAACATATCTCATTTTGTTTAAATATTCATCAGTTGATAGACATTTGGATGGCTTCCACTTTTGGGCTATTATAAATAATGCTGCTTTAAATATTTGTGTACAAGTTTTTCTGCAGATGTATGTTTTCATATCTAGATAGATAGATAGACAGACAGACAGAAAGACAGACAGACATACTGGGTTATGTGGTAACTGTGTTTAACATTTTGAAAACTGCCATACTAGTTTCCAAAGTGATTGTAAGCATTTTACTTTCTGACCGGCAATGCATGAGGGCCTGCAAATTCTTCATCTCCTCACCAACACTTGATATCTTTTTTATTTTATCTATCCTAGTTGGGTGAAGTGGTATTTCATTATGGCTTTAATTATCATTTCCTTTATTACTAATAATGTTAACTATCTTTTCATGTACTTACTGGCCATGTGTATGTCTTCTTTGGGAAGATGTCTCTTTGCCCATTTTTTAAATTGAATAATTATCTTTTTATTATTTATTTTTTTTGCTGAGTTATTTACATAATCTAGATATAGTCCCTTGTCAATATGATTTATAAATATTTTCTCTCATCCTATGGGTTTCTTATAATTTTATTGATGATCCAATTTAAAGCCCAGAGTTCTGTGATGTAGTTTAATCTATATATCTTTCCTTTCCTATATATCCTGCTTTTGTGTCATAGCTAAGACACTGTTGCCTAACTCAGTGTTGTAGAGATATACTCCCAGTTTTCTTCTAAGAGTTGTATAGTGTTATCTCTTAGATTTAGGTCTGTGATGCATTTTGAGTTTGTTTTTGTGTTTGAAGAAAATGAGGTGTTCAAAAAATGTTTGCATGTGGATATTCAGTTGTCCCAGCACATCTTTTGTTAAATTTGTTTATGTTTTACTTTTTTACCTTATTACATATGCCATTGCTTTCTTAATTAATCTTGGATTGTTTATTGCTAGCATGTAAAAATAATATTAATTTTTGTGTATTGATTTTTGTGTCCAACAATTTTGCTGAATCTATTTATTAATTTTAATAGCTTTTCTTAAGATTTTCTATTTAAAACCTCATCTAAGACAAATACCATATGATCTCACCTTTAACAGGAAGCTAAACAACAAAACAAACAAGCAAGCAGAATAAAAACAAAGACACTGAAATAGAGAACAGGGGGACAGTGACCAGAGGGGAGAGGGAAGGGAATTTAAGGGGAAAAAAGGGGAGGGATTTGGAGGAACAAATATGAAGGATACAGGGACGAGAACTAAGGGGGGTGGAAATGGGAGGGAGGTGGGAGCACTGGGGGGGCTGGGATGGGAGAAACAGACAAAAAACTGTACTTGAAAAATAACTAACTAAAATTAAAAAAACCCTCATTTAGTCTGCAAATATAGTTTTGCTTCTTCCTTTTCTAATCTGGATGCATTTTATTTTTACTTTATATTTTGTCTAATTGCTCTCACTAGAATCTCTCGTGCAATGTTGAAAAGAAGTGATAAGAATGGACCTTGTCTTATTCTTGATCTTAGGAGGAGTGAAATGTCCTTCATCATTAAGTATGATGTTCACTATGACACACTTCTGGCTCTTTGTGAGGCTTCCCTGAGAACGATTCACTTCTCATCAATATAATGCTGATCTGAAATGATACCTTCTAACTGTAATGGGGCGATAACTACATGTCCACACTGGGGAGGGGTGACAGAAATAAGGCCCAAAGGGTGGCTGGCTCATGGTGCTTTCACCAGACAGCTGAGTCCTTCTACCTCGGTCTTCACATGGGAAGATTGGACTATGGCCTCTGTGATTTTCTTTGTGGATATCAGAGGTGATGTTGGTCATTAGCCCATAACTTTGGAGGATAGACTGTCTCTTTATCTTAGATGGTGGTAATTTGGCTATTCTTATATCTATTTTTATGATTTTAAGGGTATGGATATAGTGAAAATGGTAATAATGATAAAATTACAAGTAATATTTGTGGGGTGCTCACTATGTGCAAGGCTTTATAGGTTCTGTTTAATTTAAGTCTCAAAACTTCATTATCTACAGCTTATATAGGAGAAAATGGAAGCGTAGAGAAATAAATAACTTGCTTAATGCTAATGTGAACAGAGCCAGAATGTGAGATGGGGGTCTGGCTTAAGAGCATTGCTCTTGACCACTGTGCTCCTTTGTTTTTCAAATGTCTCGCCTCAACAGACCGTCAAACGCTTCTGAAAAATTGTAGTTGGTTCTTCTTTATACTAAAGGCAGGAAGGACTATGGCATTTCCCAGAAAGGTGGGTATGAGACAAACTTGCTATCCTACTTTTTCTTTAGCAGTTTCTGTCCATTTTGGTGGGTGATGCTCGGTTCCCACCGGGGACAACGGTG